CAAGACCATGTAAGCAAGTAATTAACCTTTTGTATCAGAATCATCATAATAATATATTTACATATGGCAACCTACAACTATTTCATGGATTAGAAAGAAAAAGAATTTATTTATAAATGCTCTGAAAATAACAGGATACTGATTAACAGATGACAAGAGCCTAGCACAGGTCAGATGGTCAATAAATGTCAGCTGAATGAATAGATGACTTAAATAAGTAATGAAAAACTTATCTAAAGGTTGTTCTATTGATAAATGGATATGTCCAGCTTGTTGGAAGAATGGATTGCCAAGGGAGTCTGTCATTGCTATATTTAGCTTAATTACTACTCTTAGCAAAAAATACTCAGTCCAGACTTTGAGTGATACTTGCCAAAAGTCAAGGGATTCTCTTAAGATCCCTTAAAGGCCTAGTATCCTATGATTCTAAAAATAAGGATGAGCGATTATTTTGGCACCCTGAAGACAAGGCAAAACAAACTGAACCTTAGTTACATTAGGATGAAGGCATTTAGACTACTTGAATGTCAGAAAATGTTCTCAATTCTTAAGAATTTATAGATATAATTGAAAAATGTAGTATTCTTCTGCTAAATATACTTAAGAAAGGGATTAACAACAAACTTTTTCAGATATGTCACTTCCAATTTAATATAAAGGAAGTTCTCAATTAGATAAACAGAAGATATGTTTCCTTTCTTTCTACTTGTCATTAACATAGATTTATTGAGTCTTTACTATGTAAAGATGCTGGGGAAATGGGGGGGATATTTGCTCCCTTATAGGGAGCTCACAATCCAGTAGGGGACAGGGTCTTAGGTGTCAGAATTTTATGTATAATAAAATATTTGATGATTGTAATTTGCTTAGTCATAATAATCCTGTACTTGCTCTAGGTAAAGATCTCCATGGAAGCATCAGGAACCCAGATTTTTATAGCAGTGAGTCTCAATCTGGCTACATATTAGAATAACCATGGGATTATTAAGAGTGCCAATGCCTTTCACTTCCAGGAAAGATGGAGTGACAGGGAATGAATTTACCCTCTCACTGAAAAAAACAAATGATGGACGAAATATAGGAAACAATGGCTTGCATGATGCTGGACATCAGGAAAAAGGAGCTTGACCTCTGTGAGATGGTAAACAAATAAGATGAGCCCTGATTGCCCCAGCTTATTGCCTGAGCTTATCCAGGTTACATCATAGACAAAGGAAACTTGAGGAGAAGGAGCTGAGTTCAGGGAAACCAAGGACAGGGTACTGAAGAGGAAAAAGCTACACAGACAGAGGATCTGAAGAGGTCAGATGATCGAGTATTCAGCTGAGTATGTGAGTACCAAAGCTAGAGAAGGAAGCACGCACAGGATTAGAGATAAAAATGCCTGGTATTTACACCTCACAAAAATGAAAAGACCTCAAGATTCACACAGTAGGGTCTTGCCCCGATGGTGGAGAATAACTGTGCTCTTCAGACTGAGCACTTTCCTAGTCTCACCTAATAAGTTGTAAGAGCAAGATCCAAAAGGATCAAACCATTTCTGAGGAATTTAACTGTGTCCTAGAATAAAGCTCAAGAATATTTATAAGAAAACAAAAATATCCAACACCCAAAGAGGTAAAAGGCACACTGTCAGGCATCCAGTAAAAAAATTACCAAGCATTCAAAGAAGCAACAATCTCCTAGGACTTGGCTGGGATTCATTCTTTTGAAAACTTTGCAGGCAGCTTAATCTCCAAAGTCTCACACTCTGATCATCCATGTTCACTGCCAAGTGACAGGCCCCACCAGTCATCTCCCCCACACTGCTCTGATGCTTCCTCTTTCCAGACCCAACCACTGATCCTCTCCTCCTCCCCTCTAACCCAAACACTTCCATGGTGGACAAATAACACTACATCCTCATCCACTCCATGGAACACTCAATCCATCTTCTTAGAGAAGCCTGGTTCTATCCTGGGGACACCTTGTCACCTGTATTCTCTCAAGTAGATTCTGCTGGTTCTCCCACATCTGGACTACCTCACTGTTGGAAGCAGCATGCAAAATCACCCTCACTCCTCATTGTTGCTTCCAAGAATGGAATTCCTCCACTCTGTGAAAATCCCTACTTTTTCTTGTGTGTATGGCATCTACTAGATCATCTTTTAAACCTTATTTAAATCATCACATAATGATATCTTTTATGGACGGTTTGCAGCTGTATCTTCAGCACTAAGAATAATGCCAAACACATAAGTATCTGTTGAAAGCAAGAATGAATGGACGGCTAAATGAGATTCTAAGGGATGCTCCATGATAAACTCCTCTGGTTATAAGAGTTTGGATGACTAAAAAGCCACATGCTTAAATCCTATCACTTAGTCCCTCACTGTACCATTGTAACTGGACTAATAGTTTAATACTATGCCTGTGGACTACACTGATTATGACTCCTGAACACTGCTTCACCTGTTGTGAAGCCAAGGGTCCTGTTCCGCCCATTGACCAATGACTCTGAAACAATCCTTTTCATGGGGCATCTTTTGGAATAAATTTATTTCAGAGATTATTTCTTAGAAAAATGTTGCCTCCTCTGTGAACTTGCATATCTCCACATTTCTGTTGATAGAGGATTCCGTGTTCCATCTCCTGCTCAGCTTCTTGGGCTCAGCTCAATCACAACTGCATTGCCTCTGCTCGTTAGCACAGTTACAATCCCCTTTCTTCTCATATTTTCCATTTCCATCATTTATTGCTTACATTAGATGTCTTTTGCAAAAGATTTTAAATGAATGATTAACTATGACAAATACACGCTCAACCACTAAAAGAGGAAGAGGATATCATTACTCACTCTATATGCTTGGCCAATACCTCCATTATCAGCGATGTTTTCTCCCAGTGTATTAATCCCATTGAGCTGTTAAAAAACAAAACAAAACATAGGCTTAAAGACCCCTAACTGTATTCTGATTGTTAAGAAAGCATCGATAATTCACTTAAGATTGAACATATCTGAAACGTTTCAAGAGAACGCTGATGACATACATGCTGTCCACCTGCCAGATCCCAGGAGAAGTTTCCATACTGGTACACCATGCACTGGGATTGCTCTTTAAAATTATTTGCAGACTGTTGAGTCCACCAGTCAACGAGGTCTCCATCCTTGTTAAAATTTCTGCCTATAATATATTTATTTAAGTAAAACGAGAACTCATTATATCAACAATTACAATAAGATACTTTTAATTCTAAGTGTGAGAACTGAAATATCACTGTGTGAGAGAACATTAAATTGGACAAATAATGAGAGGAACTATTATCCTTTCTTGTCCAGATGAAACCTGGAATGCCAGGGCTTTCTTTGATTAAATGCTTTGATTAATCCAGATATTTCACCTACTGGGCTCTTGATATCCAGGCTGAGGCCACCAGATAAACACTCCTGAAATCATGCCATCTTTCTGTGAGATGGCTTTCACCTGAACCACATCTGTTTAATTTGACGTTATTAGATTTTAAAAGGTCAGTATTTTTATTCTGGCATTCATTTCATATCTCCCCCATGGCACATTGTGGACTCAGTTTACCTCTACTTCAAGCAAAAAGAAAAAGTCACCATCCTTCCTGGAGTCTCCTGCTAACCTTAAACGCATGGATCGTTCTTTTTTTTCTTTTTCTTTTTTTTTTGAGCCCCGGTGGCATTTACATATGTCATATGTCTAACACTGATAACTACCTTTTTAATAGTTATCTATGATGTAAGAAAAGGGCTATGAAAAACAAACTCATATCCTGGTTCCACCAATTCCTAGCTCTGTAACTTTGAGCAAGTCTTTCATGTGCCTCTATTTTTTTCCATTAAAAAAATGAAAATGGTATTAGTACCTACCTGTGAGGATTACTGTATAGTTAATTGAGTTAACTATACAGTAAGTAAGTCCTTTTCAAAACTGTCCTCTTCGCATCTCCTTTTCTTTCTCTAAAGTTAGATCTAGTTAAGGCTTAATTAGTTTCTCCCTACTGTTCTCTTCCTGTATTCTTTCCACTTGCAAACCAATCTTTGTCATAGCTTCAACTATCACCTCTTTACATATCTTCTGTCTTTACTTATATTCTCAAATTTCATTGACACTAAATCTATTTTGCCCAATGAAAAATCTGTTGTGCAGCACATAAACATTTACGTGCCTACTGTTTGCAAGTATAAGATAAAAAAAAAAAAAAAAAAAAAAAGAATGAGTCCCTGACCACAAGCAGTTTTAAGAGCCTAATGGCTTATGGACACCTTACTGTTTCATTTTATGTCTGACTTCAAGACATGGACTCTACCCTTTAAAAGTCTGGAGAGATAAGACATAAACAACCATGAAATTAGACCAGATATTATCATCGGTGTTTTCTCGATGTGAATATGTGTTTCATTCCATCAGAGTTTAAAGCACATGTTGCTTAACTCACTATTAGAAATCTGTGGTCTTCTTCAGCAACACTTTAAAAGGAGCACTAAAAGTCTCGTGATTATTAAGCCAATGATACGTGGTTGAATAAATGTGTTTCTATATTGATAAATTGTAAGTTTTAATCAGGTTTATTAGGCTATATTTCAGTCAAAGGACTGTCAACTACACCTTACCACTGTCGTCGAAGCCATGGGTGATTTCGTGTCCGATGACCATACCGATGCCCCCATAGTTCAATGAGTTAGACTGCTGGGCACTGAAGAAAGGGGGCTGCAGAATGCCAGCTGGGAAGACTAAATGGAAAGAAGATGGTTAAGGATTATATGTGGCATTATTTTGTAACAGCAGGCCTGGAGTTGGCTTCTTGCCTGCCAAGCTGTTTTCCAGTGTGTCTGTTTCACTTAATTGCATACAAAAATATTTTGTGATCCAAACAAATAGAGATCTTTTGTTATTGATGACAACAAAGAGTTCATCCCAGAGCGGCACCACAGTCCATGATTTATAATCACAATGCACTTGACGATCTCTGTTAAGATGGCTTTCTGCTATAAGGAGTTTAGAGTAAGGGAAAATTATCATCTTCCTTCAGAAGGTCTTTCTCCTATTGTAAATATTTGGGAGAAATAGTTAATTAATAACACAAGTGTTAGTTGTAATGTTATCTCTAACGTTTTATCCACCTACCATAACTTATTAGATAAAAGAGCCACTCAATTGAAGATATCCATCAATCACATAATTGTATTTTATTTTCATCGAGGCGTTGACTGTTTATTTCCTTACTTATGGTAGTTGTCCTTCTTTTTCTTGACTGCATCACCCCCCTGCACCTCTACTATTTGCCCTTTGAGAGCAGAAATTTGTATGTCTGTACATATGTTTGTTTTCGAGTTCATTTATTTTTTTTTAGTTCATTATCTCTGGCACCTAAAACTAGAATGGTGCCTAGAACATTCTGGGTGTTTAGAAAAGGTGTTGCATAAATGAATAACTGATGATAAATGAATGAATAAATGAATTTACTGTAGTGTCCTAAAGACTTTAGTAAATAAATAACATTTTTTATGTCTACTCTGACATGTACATTAACTTGCTAACTTTCTACACTTAGATGTCTTACTAACTTTTTAAATTTCATGTGTCAGATATCAGACTCTTTGTTTTCTCCCTTAAGCCATTACTCTCTTGACTTTATTATTTCTGTTAATGACATCTGAAGGGTCTCAATACACCCAAAGTGAAAACTGTCTACTCACCTTAGATGTTTCCTTTCTTTTACAATGTCTTATACAGTCTATTTAGGATTGGTCTTCTCACTTCCTGTCTCACCCAACTGTAATCTAACCTAAATCTGATCTATCCTGCAGCCAGACTGAAGTGCAAGTCTGGTCATTACCACTCCCTGCTATAGAACCTTGGACGGCTTATCATTGCTCTCTAACTAAAAACAGAATCTTTTTCCTGGCTTGACTCCAGGGTCTTCGCCTACTTTTCTGCCTCCCTCATGACCTCCCCTTCCCTCATAATGTTCGTAATTTAGTAATTTTATCTTTCATGTTTAAAACTCATATCCAGTCAATAACTGAAACATCATGTTCTGTAATAAAAAATATCATTAGTGTAACATCTCTTACAAGTAAAGCCCTGGGCCACTGCTATGTGGAATATCAGGAATATAAGGGCCTCGATTTAAGAAATTTAAGATCTAATTAACAGGGTAGCAAATGTTGTTTCTTTGTCTTTCAAGTAGGGCGACTATGATATAGCCTTGCAAGTGTTTCAGAGATAAATATTAGATATTTAAAGAGGAGGCTTAAAAATATGCTGGCCAATTTAAGTGCTCTCCAGACCTTTAAAAAATCTGTAAAGTTGCCATAACATTCAAAATGACAAAATAATAATAATAATAAAAAAAATACTTTGGTGAATTTTAATGAAAGTTATACCTCACATGTAGCTTGCTGCCTGAGCTATCAACAGTGCCAAGAAATTATTTTTAGTTTAAAATATAAAAATTATGTGCAGTACTTTATTAACTTAAAGTGAACACTATCTCCCACACTATGTACTTTGATTAAAATCCACCCATTATTTAAATGCTCTTATGAAACGTGCCAGCAAGACTAAACATTAACTGTAAAGATCCTGCTGCTTTAATTATACCCGATATGCCATTCTTCAGGCAAGTGATAAGATTTTTATGGCTCATATTAAATACCAGTCTAAGGTTTAATGAGATAATTGGATAGTGCCTAGAACTTACAGGGAAACATTTTACAAAATATTCGAGTGAAACTTTCCTAACTGCATGAAAGGTTTCTAGAGCTCCATGGAGTAAATGCACAAGGAATAGGAACCAGTAAATTAAACGCTTTCCAATGTATCTTTTCCTGCAAGTTGACTTTTTTTTATTAATGTGAAGTGGTAGAGGTATATAAAACGTGGAATGTAGCCTACATTCATGAGTTATGACAAAAAGTGTTGGGAATCGAATTAAAAAGTAGAAATTATTAATATGAATAACTCTCTATATGATAATAAAACGAGTTCTTCTTACCATGACATAAAAAGGCCAACCCGATGAGAAATTTTATGCAGTCTTATTTAGGGTATTTGTGTGAGGGTAGGAGGGTCATTTAGAGACATGTGCTATTCCATACCAATCTTAATTCTGTAATGCATATGATACCAAATCCATTAAGACAGTGTTGCAAAAGTTATATATGTATACACACACACACACACACACACACACACTTTTATCTAGAAGAAACATAGAGATCCGGATCTTCAATTATTTTTAGTTAAGACAATGCCCACTTTGAAGATTTAAAAATGAATTGTCAAAAAGAAAACATCACATGTCAAAGATTTCTCCTCTCGCATGACACTTTCCCTTTCTCTGAACTGCTATTATTAGCAGACAAGCATATGAAAAGAAGTTAAGAATTTACTGAATTTCGAATTTCCATCAGATAAATTTGTCTTAAGAATATTTAAAAGCTCTTTCTTATATATTAAGAATGTTTATTACAGCCAATTCTTGATTATTCAGAGGATAATTATCTACTTTGTGAAATCTGAGGGCACTTTTATCTTCTTTTACTTTTTGCTGTGTGCTTATTTGGTTTGAGTGTATTAAATACAAAATGAGAACATCCCCAGGTCTTCTCTGATCAGGGAATCTCTGATGTGGACCAATTTTGAGCCATCTTCAGAGTTATAGGTAGTTCAGAGCCAAACAAGGTCCTGCCTTTACCTGAACACATGTGTGGACCTGCTCTAGGGAAGGCATGAAGGAACGAACATATCAGAGTGGTCTAACAGAGGGTCTTTCTGGCTCTTCTTGTTGGGATGACTCAGCATCAGGTCTGATAGGATCCAGAGATCTCCCTGAGCTGGATTAAAATGAAGCTATATTCTTTAGTCTGCCCTACTGCAGAACCATAAAGTCTAGGCTGCTTTGA